ACTCACTTTGACTTTATAACAGATTTTCATTGTAGCTCTGCAGAAATGTACATGACTGAATGTATAAAATGTCTGACACTTATTCGTTTAATGTGTTGTTTATCTCCCTAAGTGTAAAAAATAAAGGTGAGTTTTTTGACAATATTCTTGGCCATTATATATACTTATTCCTAATATACGTATATGTCATCTTTGTTTTGTCTGTCTGTCTTCTAAATATTTGTCTATCTACGCTTTACTGTCTGTCTGGCTGTCGATCTTGATATCTTCCTAAAATGTTCACAGACTAAGAATTTGTGTATATTTCTGTATGCATTTCATCAAGTGTAATCTATATGTCTGTTTAATTTATCCATCCATCCATCCATCCATCCATCCATCCATCCATCCACCCATCCATCCATCCATCCATCCATCCATCCATCCATCTATCTATCCGCCCCCGCCCGCCCACTATTCATTCGTTCGTCCCTCCGTGCATCTGTCTGTTTGCCTGTCACTGTCAGTCTGTCCACCTGCCTGTCCGTCCTTCCGTTCTCCCTCCCTCCCCCTCCCCAACCCATCCGTCTGCCTATCTGTCTATTTATCCGTCTGCCTATCTGTCTATTTATCCGTCTGCCTATCTGTCTATTTATCCGTCTGCCTATCTGTCTATTTATCCGTCTGCCTATCTGTCTATTTATCCGTCTGCCTATCTGTCTATTTATCCGTCTGCCTATCTGTCTATTTATCCGTCTGCCTATCTGTCTATTTATCCGTCTGCCTATCTGTCTATTTATCCGTCTGCCTATCTGTCTATTTATCCGTCTGCCTATCTGTCTATTTATCCGTCTGCCTATCTGTCTATTTATCCGTCTGCCTATCTGTCTATTTATCCATCTGCCTATCTGTCTATTTATCCGTCTGCCTATCTGTCTATTTATCCGTCTGCCTATCTGTCTATTTATCCGTCTGCCTATCTGTCTATTTATCCGTCTGCCTATCTGTCTATTTATCCGTCTGCCTATCTGTCTATTTATCCGTCTGCCTATCTGTCTATTTATCCGTCTGCCTATCTGTCTATTTATCCGTCTGCCTATCTGTCTATTTATCCGTCTGCCTATCTGTCTATTTATCCGTCTGCCTATCTGTCTATTTATCCGTCTGCCTATCTGTCTATTTATCCGTCTGCCTATCTGTCTATTTATCCGTCTGCCTATCTGTCTATTTATCCGTCTGCCTATCTGTCTATTTATCCGTCTGCCTATCTGTCTATTTATCCGTCTGCCTATCTGTCTATTTATCCGTCTGCCTATCTGTCTATTTATCCGTCTGCCTATCTGTCTATTTATCCGTCTGTCTATCTGTCTATTTATCCGTCTGCCTATCTGTCTATTTATCCGTCTGCCTATCTGTCTATTTATCCGTCTGCCTATCTGTCTATTTATCCGTCTGCCTATCTGTCTATTTATCCGTCTGCCTATCTGTCTATTTATCCGTCTGCCTATCTGTCTATTTATCCGTCTGCCTATCTGTCTATTTATCCGTCTGCCTATCTGTCTATTTATCCGTCTGCCTATCTGTCTATTTATCCGTCTGCCTATCTGTCTATTTATCCGTCTGCCTATCTGTCTATTTATCCGTCTGCCTATCTGTCTATTTATCCGTCTGCCTATCTGTCTATTTATCCGTCTGCCTATCTGTCTATTTATCCGTCTGCCTATCTGTCTATTTATCCGTCTGCCTATCTGTCTATTTATCCGTCTGCCTATCTGTCTATTTATCCGTCTGCCTATCTGTCTATTTATCCGTCTGCCTATCTGTCTATTTATCCGTCTGCCTATCTGTCTATTTATCCGTCTGCCTATCTGTCTATTTATCTAGCTGCGAAGCAGATACAAAGACTATTCACCATTGTGTTCTTCTTCTTCTTCAGCATTCCGAGCCCTTGAGGTTCATTGCTGCAGATATCACCTGTCTCCATTTATCTCTCCGGTTGGCCTTATCTTTCCACTTGGTGACACCAAGTGTTTGCAGGTCTGTCTGGATCTGCATCGTCTTCCTGGTCTGACTCGCGGTCTACGACCATTTATCTCCCTGGTACATACAGTTTTTACTTCTCTGTCATCTGACATTTTTTTCCATTTGCCCCAACCATTTCACTCTATTAGCTCTAATTATGTCAGTAATCAGTGGTGATTAAAACAGATTGCCGCGAGCCAAAGTGGATAAATACACTTATACAGTGAGGGTGTGGGTTTGAACCTTAACAGTGCCCACCCACGTGAGAAACTGGACTATTATGTAGGCTTTGTTGATCCTCGACAGTCCTGGATAGCCAAGAAAACAGCGAGTGGCTCGTTCCATCAAATGAAAGTTGCTGTACTTGTTTCCACAGGAGTAGGAGAAGGGATAGATAGATATCAGGATAAACCCACTGTGATATTATCTAGATACACAGTTAACCCCTCCAACTTTCTCCTCTCCTGGCATTACTTAAAAGCCCCCATCAAGTGATTTAAATATTTGTCAGCTGAAGTAAACTAGTATGCACTAAGACACTTGAACCTAAGTATACAATTTACTCAACTATTTTGTAACAACAAGAACAAGATTTATTGAATAAATCTAACCAAAATTAACATGAACGGGTTTATGCTAGTAGAGTGAAGATGGTGTTATTGATGACAGTTTATACATATACTTAACTCCTAAATGGAGAATTCAACCTCGGGACAGTTCTCGGCTTGAGACCCTGCCTATCTCTTCTCCAGTTTGTCGTCCTCACTGCTTTCAAGCAGGTCGTTACACTCAGATGGTCGGCAAAGAATGGATGCCTACTAGTCCCTGCCCAATGTGGGAACTGTGATAAAGAAACAAGCGCATATGTGTAGTATCTAATCTAGATGTACACTAAGCATGTATATTATAATAACATCAAACATGTTTATTGAAATGAAACAATTCATCTCTCCCTCATTTTCACATTCACTCCTGTCCAGTTTGGAAGGGCTTATGTCTCACATTCGAGCCGTTAAATTTCCTTCCTTCCTCTACTCACGTCCTGTAATGATAGTTACATCTTCTATGTCTGATGTCATCTCTCGTACAGACTCAAAATGACAATCAGTCAGACAGAACAAGTTCTGGAATCCATGCTTGGAACAATGGACGCGCCCAGAATGCTAACAATATTTCTGGGGCGCATCAAATAACAAATCTCAAGGATTTGCTCTCTGGGATCAATCTCCGCATTAGCCTCCCGGGAGTTAAACACATTTCAGTGTGTTAGCTGTATGTAATACAGATTCACATTAACCACACGTGACAAGACTGCCAAAGTTATCTTCACTCTTGTGATTTTAGAAACATGATAGTTCATTAAATTTCAATGGTAACATCAACATTTAAGTTTTACAACATTAAAACACATGTGCACGAAAAACATTCATGACAATATCAATTACGATATAAAGAAATGTGACAGTGCCCTACGAGAATGGAGAAATGTCCGCTAAGGAGTCCTACAAAGTGATGAAGACACACACTTGAGAAAAAGACAGTTAGATTTCTATCAGGAAATAAATTTTAAAACTAATTTCCCTTAACTGGAGAATAAAAACACAATGCCAAAAGTACTGTCTCAAGCTTAGGTTTTAAGCCCAACAGATGACAGAGTCGCAGTTCCAAGTTCTAGAATCCACACTTTTATAACTTCTATTAAGCTCCTCCTACATTACTCCTAAAACCACTCTCATTCAAGGATGTCACAGCTCCTCCCCGTGGGTAAGTCTATTAACTGTCAGTCGATGACTGTACAACAATTGTTTGCGTTCCCACGGTTACATTCTCCTGGTTAACAAGCTGGTCAGAGCTAATAGACAACGTCACACCTCCCATCCCTACTTCAACCTGCCGTCACCTTTATCAGACCATGTCAATTCTTCTGCTAACACTTTCGGCTCACTGTGTCAATACTGGCCGTCTGGCCTGCCCTTAAGTTAGGTAACCTCAGGGGGAGATAATCACAGTTAGCCTTTGTTACCTGCTCCTGAAGGTTTGGCTAGAAGATAATTATCTGACACCTAAGTTTTGGCAAGCTAATTTACAGCCAAAAAGTTTGAGCTAGTCAGTCTTATCTCTGTATCTTAACACTTTACATCTGGGAAAGAGTTTTAGTGTTAGATATCACCAACAGTTCAGGAGAATTAAATGTTTGTTCTGGTCGCCTTACTTAGCTTAAGGATGTATCAAAAACCATATTTTTCTGTATACTTTAAAATACATAGAAATAAAAGTAGGTTGAGGAAAGACATTATGAAGTCACCGAGCGTGTCGTCACACAGATTTTGAATTTCGTTGTTGCTTCTCACTCTCCACTCCCCGCTGTTTGCATCTTTGATGGGTCAGAAGATTCGTCGTAAGACTGTTTTCGAAAACCTGTATTAAGGCTTCACCTCTTTTAATTGTGCTCCAAGTTTCAGAGTCATATAAAAAAAAAAACGACTGGTCTTATCAACGTTATATATATATATATATATATATATATATATATATATATATATATATATATATATATATATATATATATATATATATATATATATATATATATATATATATATATATATACATACATATATATTTTTTTTTCATCTGGGTCAGTCTTCCCTCACGGAGAAACCACCCGACTCTGAATTTTTGATGGCTCAAACCGTGAACGTTACTCCCGTGAGTTTGGGACTGATCACGCGCTTCTGGCCAGACCAGTGCAGCAGAGCTACACTTTGATCTCAGCCAAAAGGCCGAGAAGCGATTTTTGTTAAATATTTTGATCTCGGTGGTGCAACACAGACACTTGTTCTCAACCCATAAAACTAACACAAATGTGTACGATTCAAATCTAAAATATTCTTCCGCTATTCAATTAAAGCTAGTTTTATGGTCAAGACTGCACTGAGAGACACTGCTTTGTGAATGAGGGTTAATCTGGTCTTCCTGTTTTCTTTCGTTCACAGACGATGGTGCTGAAAAAATCCAACTCCAAACTCAACTCTGGGGCTACTCAAAGAGCAGTCACTCATGCAGGAATAAACAAGCTACAGAATGTCTGTCTCACCCATCATCCGCACATCCTCAATGTGGAGAATTATTTGCTGGTGACCACAGATATAAGCATGGCCGATCAAGAGGCAAAGGACAGACTGCAAGCATGCCTTGGAGAGATGTACACTTATCTTGGCTTCGATATGCCAAACTTATCGCACGCAATCAACGGAAACGTATCTCGTAGCAATGTACTTCCAAATTCAGCTAAATACGTCACTGAATGTTCACTAGAGAAAAACCGAGCATGGCTGTTGCCAGAAAGGATAACAGAAATGCAAGCAGACGTTGATTTCCTGAGGAGTTTAACTCGGAATTTGCATATTAGGTTTCACGAGGTTGTGAACGCTATGATAACTACGAGCTCAATCAATTCGCTGAAATCGGTAAGAACTAAAACCTTTTCTTCCTCGGAAATCCTGGATGAGCCATCAACCTGTGATAAACAACCGACTGGAACCAAGGCTATCAAATCCAGACGAAAACAAACTTGTCATAACAGGGGAGTGCAGAGATCGCATTTATTTAATAGAAAGCAGAAAAAGGGTCACGAATTACAGCATTGTGAAGAAGAAAAGGAAAATAAATTTGGGAATTTAGATGTATATTTGTTTGCACCAAGTCGCCTTGAGGCCCGAAGTACCTATTATAGAATGGAGAAAAAGTTTGCTAGACGCACCAACGCTTCTCGCTTGAAGTCTTCCACTAAAATGAATGGTCGTAGCAAAGGCAGGTTTCCCTGCCGCCAAGGCTACTGCAATCGAGATCTTGCAGTAGATGCAATGAATGGCATCAAAGAGGTTTATGAAGACAACATAAACTCAACAGATTTCGATAATAACGAAGCAGTAAGCACAGCTGATGTACGAAAATCACCGGAAATGACATATTTCATCACTGACTTCATTAGTATCAGAAGACGTGGCCTGAAAGGAGAAAAAAGGGACAAAAAGAAAGAGAAAAAGAAAGTATCTACAGAAGATGAAGAAGATACAAAGGGTTATGCCCAATTATTAAACCGAATTCGGCATCCAAAAGGATCGTTTGTTGTCGTTTCTAAAGACGAGTGTCACTTGGAAGATAAAAACCACGAGGTAATCCCCAGGTCCTTGCCTCGACAGGAAGATTCAGGCGTTACGCTGAACGATACCTGGCCTGTAGTAGACGATGGTATAAGAGTTCATACAAATGAGAACGTAAATTCTACCAGAGTTTGTGAAATAGAAGGTATAAATGATTTCGACAGTGGCTTTGTGTTGGTTAAGCTGGTATTGTCTGAGGAACAAGAGAAATGGTTTTCTTCATCACAAGAACGGAGAAATACTGAAATGTTTATTGACAACAAGTATCTAGTTAAATGTGGCAATAGTCATCCTGAGTGTTTTATTGTTGACTGTAACTCGGACAAGATACAAACAAGTGGTCAAGGCTGGAGATTGATCAATGGGAGAAAGAGTCCTTTAGAGAGTGACCTTTGGCTCGTGTCAATTCAAAATCAATGGCAAACATCCGTGCAAACAAAACAGTATGTTCAAAACTGCATTCCCAACTACAAGAATACGAGCCTTTCTTTGCGTCAACTTATCACTTTGGTTACGGCTCTCGATGGCAATGAAACAGTCACACAACCAAGCCGAACTTCACAACCAGTTAAAGAAAAATGGATGTCTTCAAATATTGTCTGGCGCAATATGCCGCTTAACATTGTTACTACAACAGAGAGTTGCACAATTGAGGAGACACACAGCAGATTGAAAGAAACATGTGTCATGAGCAGAAATGTTTCCCAACAGCAGATTATGACTGTCGAGTCACCTGAAGACTCCCACTTGACCCAGTGCGGTGTCTGTTTCATGGAATACGATAACTCAAACCTGGCTACTTCACCGGTTGTCCTTCTTCCTTGCTCACATACGTATTGTGTTTCCTGTTGGCGCGCTCACTTACAAAACTGTATCAGAAATGGCGCAAACAGTCTCCCTTGCATGAGCACAAACTGCACAAATCTGATGGACATTGTCACAATTTCTACAATTTTACCTTACACTTTAGTCCGCCACTGGCAGAACCAGGTTATCAGCCGGCGCATTGATTCTAGTCTCTACTGTCAGTGGTGCCCAAACTTTGCCTGTGATAAAGTTGCCGTGTCCAGAAACGAGATGTTGAAACAACAATTTGGGAAAGTGATCACTTGTGTCTGCCAACAGTGTTGGTGCAGCGGCTGTCAGGGAGATCCCCACTGGCCGTCTTCCTGTGACCAGATGGCAGCCTACAGAAAACTGCTGACAAAGACAAACAAAACAATAACATTTTCTAAGAATGTTATAACTTTCGAAGTGGAGGTCAAGCGATGCCCTGGTTGCCGGTATCCAATTGAAAAGAATGCGGGCTGTCCAACAATGAACTGTGCTATGTGTAAGCATTGCTTTTGCTGGACATGTATGAAACCATCTCACACTCACAGCGTGTGCAAAGAAAAGAATGTTGAAACAACCGTTCACGTCCTAAAAAACAAGCTAGAAATTACAGGACCTCTCCATTGGTATCCTCGTTGTCTCAGATTAAAAATAAAGATGGAACAGATGAAAAAGATTCATTACTGGATTCACAGTCTACGCAGGAAAGCTGCCTGTCCCCGACTGCTATCATTCCCTGTCTACCCAACTAACCAAGCTGCTCAAACCGCAACATCACGTGCAGAAGAATGTGTGCTTTTCTTCAAACAAGCCTACGCGTTCCAAGAGTCAATGCACGTTCTCACTGGCTTTGCTGAGCTCAGCGAGTGTCCTAGAAGCAGGTCTTGTGCTAAGCAGTCCCTGTCTAAAATGTCCAGATTGGATTTCATCATGTGGCGATTGAGGGAGACTGTTTTAGAGAAGTCCTTGTCGCAATTATGTAAAAGAGACACAGCCACGGAACATTTAATACGAGCTGGACGTGATGTGATGAGAGAACTTTCAGTGCTGGTCCCTGCTTTACAACATTTCTCCAAAGACATTGACACAACTTCAGTTGGAGAACTGGACCCTGCGCTGATGATTCGACACAAATAAACCCATGATTTGTATAGATTCGACACAAATAAACCCATGATTTGTATAGATTAGGCACAGATAAACATATATTTTGTACAGATTCGACACAAATAAACCCATGATTTGTATAGATTCGACACAGATAAACATATATTTTGAACAGATTCGACACAAATAAACCTACGATTTGTATAGATTAGGCACAGATAAACATATATTTTGTACAGATTGTACACAAATAAACCCATTATTTGTATAGATTAGGCACAAATAAACCAATGATTTGAATAGATTAGGCACAGATAAACCCAGGATTTGTATAGATTAGGCCAAACACAACTTCAGTTGGAGAACTGGACCCTGCGCTGTTGATTCGACACAAATAAACCCATGATTTGTATAGATTAGACACACAAAAACCCATGATTCGTATAGATTAGGCACAAATAAACATATAATTTGTACAGATTCAACACATATAAACAGGAAAAGATTATTAGACACACAAAAATAAACTAATACACTCGTGTTCAGTTGCTTGTTTCATTTAGTTTTCTGGTGAAACTTGCGTGCTAAGCTCCGCAAACGATCGTTACCAACACAAGGAAACAAACTGTGCAACCTCTAAACTATAATTTATGTCCTAGAATGTAGAAAAAAAGATTCCTTCGAAAGTAACTTACGCAACTTGTCCACGTTTCAGAATAGACGCTAACTTTCTCTTATCCGTGTACGTTGAGGCAACAGTCGCCTTCGTCTATTCTAGGCAGGTCTTTAAAAATGGGGTTTATCCAGCCAGTGGATATATTTCCTGGAAAGTATGGGACTCGCAAGGAAGTGAAACATTTAGTTCAGTAAAAAAAAAAAAAAATCAACATGCCTGTGTGGATTTCAGGATCTCACTGGAGGGAAAAACAGAGTGGGGGAGGGATTAAAACAGATCCATTGCTCTACTACTAAAGAAGCATGTCGTAGAAGGCGAATAATTAGAGGTTTGCTGACATCCGATGTGTTGGGCTGAACGGCGCACACATCTTAGCCTAGCTGTAAACAACAATTACCCTGCAAACCGCCCACTTTTCAGGGCGAACGCAGAAGGATTATTCAGAAACATTAACAAACAGACAAACACAGGGCTTCTTTTTGTACCAGTGAAAATGCGTGCCCGTACTCAAAGTGTCTAAAAAATGGTGCTGGTACATTGAGGTAGCGCTGAAAGAAAAAAAAATTATAGCGCCTTAAATTTAAAAGGTACCGGTTCTGTGTACCGCCAGAAAAAAAAACATACACACCCTTGGCAGTACTTATTTTTAACTCTTTTTATCCCAACCAACGTACAGTGTGTGGTCAGCTATAATCGGTGTCTACCAAAAAACGAACGATGTATGTTTTTTTTTAAATCCAGAAACCATGATTTGTAAACCTTTTGGGTCGGTACTATGAACACCGCAACCCTTCGCGCTTGATTCCATGATAGATACCGTAAAACTGGGAAATTTAAGGCTTTTCTGCCTACCTGTCTAGTTAGATCTGGTAATCTGATAATCTTAGTTTCGGCTTCATAGCAAACGGGTCACCCAGTAGTTGCTCCGCTCCTGTGCTAACGAAAAACACACAGAATGTTTATCACAGTCCCTTGTGGAAAGATTGACAGACTGCTGTCTCAGCATATGCTCTAGCGTACACACACATTAAAAGCATACGGTAGCCATCCGAAGTGCTAACACAAACAGTACGACATTAGAAATGCAGTTCAGTATGGATGTTATCAGAAGTCATAAAAATATCAGCAGTTTCTAGTTAGATCTGCTTACATAAACTCCAGCAGACGTTGTCTCTTTGAAAGCAATACACACATGCAATTTTCATTGTGTCTGTTATCTGCTTAAGTATTTGCAACAAAATATCCCAGTACCTAAAGAGTTAAGCACCACAGCAAATTAAGGCAAGAACCCAATTTGGACATCTGGCACTGGGCGCTAGAGCCAAATTTTTTATAGAACAACCAGCACTCTGTAGAAAATGTACCTACATCATTCCGACTGCATTTACTTAGCATAACACTTCCTGATACATATTTGAGTTTGGGTCGACTTGTGGGGCTATGTGAAATGAAATACAAAAATATGAATCGGTGTGTATTTGAATCCTAGCCCGTGTTGGGACGTGTAATCGCCGTTTACATCCCCCCCCCACCCCAATGCATTTTTTTTTAAATTTTCGTGAAATTGCTGTTTACTATTCATTACAAATACACCACTCGGTTAATGTCTCATTCAGCATGTGAAGATGGTTGAGGAGTATTAACATAGCAAAAAGTACGTTAGCTGGATGATTTTGCAACTAATTGAGAAACTGTAACGTGAGAAATACTTTGATGCTAGCTGCGCACGCATTCCCTCGACAGCGAAGTGACGAGGAGTAAAATGTCACGGGGTACCCTCTCCAGTGTAATCGTTACCTGTCAGCGTTTACACGTGCAAACTGGTCACCAAGCGCCACTGTCCCTAGCCCTTACATGCACGTTTTTAGACGCCTAGCTTAATTAGTAGCTTATGTCCCTTCCACTAACCAGCACAGCCATTACGAACTATTTCCAGTTCCCCATGTGGGTTCCGGCGGTGCATTCTGGGAGGAAACAAGAACAGACTCACTGCCTTTATAACAAGCATATCGTACAAGGCGACTAATTATGGGAGATTCCTTCGAATCAGCATCTTCATGAGAGGTCAGTAGTATGCATACGAATCAGCATCTCCATGAGAGGTCAGTAGTATGCATACGAATCAGCATCTGCATGAGAGGTCAGTAGTATGCATACGAATCAGCATCTTCATGAGAGGTCAGTAGTATGCATACGAATAAGCCACATATATAAAACAGATATTTTTAAAAAAAGCATAGCTAAGGTTTGGAACGAGATCAGAGTATATTTATTTTTCTATCAGTACCCAGTACAGTTACCCTTGTTTAGGCCTAGTTTTATTTTCAGGCCAACTGTAACAGACACTACATAGTGATTACCCCCACCCTACTAAGACACTCTGGAGTAAGTACCGGCACTTTTTGTAAAAAAAAAAAAAAAAAACACCCCAGCACTGGTAATCTAATCAGATTGTATTATATTATTTATCATATAGCCTTTGCTTATCTTTTCTTTATATTCGGGGGATGCCGTTTGTTTTTATTCTCTTCATTGTTGCAGTGTCCAACAATTGTAGATAGCGTACGGTTTCAGCTAGCAATACTCTACCATTTGCATGATTAGGATTGTTCATATTACAATCCCCCACTCTGTATTCGTGGTCTAGCTTTAATCGCTTTTATTATTAATTCCCTATAGAAAGAGTAGTAATATAGGGACAAACAATTCCTTTGTCTTACTCCTTACTTTCTCTAGTTCACAAACAGTATATCGTAAATAACATACCTGGAAAACAGAACAAAAGGTATCTACATATGTATGCCACAAGAGATCACTTTGAAGAATAGCACAGACAATAAACACAACACCGTAGAGGCGGACAGCACAATGACTTGACCATGAAGGCTTTCACGACATGATGCTGAAATGTATAATAAGAGCAAGGCAAAGAAGAATAAACAAACATACACAATTATATGTTATCAAAACGGCGACTGAAATTGTGTGATTGCGGTAACAGATTTCGAAAGTGCGTATGTTTTAGAAATCGTTCGCCGAAGTCTTAACCTCATTAAGTCCATTCGATCAATAATTCAATAATCGCATTTTACTTGACAGGATTGTGGAATTATTCAAAGAGTGTCATTTATCCTGACAAACCAGCTTTAGATCATGGAATTAATGTAACGGATTAATTATCATTATTAGGGGGGGGGGGGGGGGGAGACGCACCACCATCGCCTCCCTTACATAATAATCTTGTAAACAGCTAACCATGTATAGAAATGATCTATTAATGTCTAATGTTTATATATTTCATTATATTAATAAGTATATTGTTTTAGTTGTTTGCTATTCACATTGTTAATAATATTCTTCTAATTCTTCTTTACGTCCTCTTTCACCGCTTGGGGTGTCGAGGGAGATATAATAAAGTCCTGCTTCGTGCTCTTCTGGCTGCCTCTACCATAGACACATCGTGGTACTGTAAAGTTTCTCTAATGTTATCTTTTCATGTTGTTCTTGGTCTACCTCTTGCACTACGTCCTTCTCCTCTGTTGGTATATGCCGGCCTTGTATGGTATAGCATCAGAAGGCATTCTCTCCAAGTGGTCAAACCATTTGATTTGCTGTCTTCGTATGTAATTTAGAGTTGGTTCTGTGCCGACTTTATCTCGTATGACCTCATTACTGACTTTATCTCTTCTCTTCACTGCTACAGTCTTTCTCAGACACCCCATTTCCATGGTTACTAATTTTCTGTTATGTTTTGTTGTTAGTGGCCACGTCTGACACTGGTAGCGAAGGGTGGGAATGAAAATACTGTGTATGAAATGTTTCTTTGGGCTGATATTTAATAATATTAATGCGCTGTATGGCAAATAACTACATTAATATACTTGAAAGAATATAAACTGTATACACAAATATATTAAAAGATCATTTCTACACATGATCAAAAGCAGCATCTTAATCTCCATACAAAATTATTGTATGCGCTGTGCCCCCCCCCCCCCCTCCTTTCCCCCAAAAAATGTTGGGTTTCCGGCGCCTATGACCGTACTAGCTGCTTTATATTCAAAAACAGTGACACGTCTGTTGGGTAGGTCAACAGAGGGTAAAATCATTACATCCTGCGAGACAAGTTTCAGTTTTCAGTGGGACAGAGAGTAACAAGTGACCTAGAACTGAAAGAGTTCTAGTATTTGGCAGGTTTTTTTTTAAAGGACGGCTTTGAACATGGCTCTGTGCCTTAGAGGTTAGTGAATGCGGTTAACAATTTCATGATGCTAGATGCGGCGGTGTAGGAAGAGCGTATTGTGTGTGTGTGTGTGTGGGTGGGGAGTTTGCAGCCCATACCGCCCGGGTGTCA